TTCGTAACAGATTTAATGTTTAGTATAGAGCTTAGAAAAAATTCGCAGTGTGAGATAGGCAAGAAGTAAGGCATGTAACAGCATCAGCACGGCAAAGGGCACTCCTTTAAAGGCAAGGAAGGGCAAAAATATTTTAAGTCAAGTGATAGCGATTGCTGTATGAGTTGTACGATTTTTGAATCAAGCACGGACAACGCCGGGCCATGCTGCTAGTTTCGTTATAAAACTGATCACACACATTTACGACTTTTTTTTATTTACAGATCGCAGCAGCTATTGGGGAGACGTGATTAAATAAACTTTAATGTCTTAAAAAATATTCAATATTATTATTGTTTAGGTAATAAGCATTATAACATAAATTAAATAGCTATATTTTGGAAAAAAAGAAATTTTCGACAGTAAACGTATTTTTTTACGTATTTATTTTTTAAAAACTTACTTTTATCAAAAACGACATTTTTGTACTTGTAGTTTTGAAGAATTTTACACATTAATTACTAATTTTTAAAAATTAATAACTATTTGTGCTCAGTTGTTGACATTAATAGCTATCTGCTGATGTGTTAAAATTTTGGAATAATGCAATAATAAAAATTTAAATTTTATCTCTCTGATAGATGTTGTGATCAGTTAACGTCATGGTCATGTTGGGAATTTCTCGGTCCACTGAAAATATTATATTTAGGTGGATACACATGTTTGAACAGACACCCTATTCATTATTTTTTTTTTTTTTTTGACAATGGAGTTGTCATATCCGTGCCTGGGTAATCGGAAATTTTATTAAACCGTTCCAAATGCGAGAAAAAAAAAAAAAAAAAAAAAACTTACTTCAATACGCCAAAAATCAATTTACAGTATTTACATTGTTCGAACTGTTGTCTCCTACACTGTCGCCATCTTCACAACGTTTCTGCCGTTATACGCTCCGGACATCTTCAGGTCATATACGTTGAAATTTCGAACTGAAAACTTTATTTAGTCTACTGGGGTAGATCGTTCTTGTTCCACGTGCCATGCCTTTTCTGGATATCTCAGTTTCAGTTAATTCCCTTTAGTAACTCAACTCACCAATTATTTTTCACCTCTGCTTTGGGCAGTAAAATATAAAATAGTTACAATATCGTACCTCAGAAATTTAGAGAGGTGTGCAAAATTCAAGATAGTAACGTTACCTCACTACGCTGACCCTGATTCTCAATATTCATGACGAATGGTTTCATTCTCAAAGCGGTTCCTTGTTTTGAGCGTCTGGGGGTGATCATGTTCACCACTGACCTCAATTGGAACTCGTATATACGATCGATGACTAATGATTTAGGAAACATTGTCTACTCTTTATACAGCCCTTAAAGGTACGTTACTCTGCTGCCACCTGCCAGACTCTATTCTCGACAAGCATTAGATCAGGAAAAAAAGAATGGAATATTATTGTTATATCTGGGTTAGAACTTCCCAATCCTCACTTCCAGATTTGACACAAGTCCAAAGCCTTTACGCAGACTTAAAGATGAATTATTTTCCAACCAACAATAACTTTCTCTCAGATATGACGTCACAAGTCTACCACTATTTTATCGCATAGAAAATGTCATGATGAGCTACATTTTATATCATTTCAGTCCTTTAAAGCCTAGTTATAGGGCTTCCGGCCACATCTTGCTGAGACACCCGCTTCTCGATATTAAGCAACATCGTGCCTGGTCAATACATAGATGGGTGACCGTTTGAGCATACCAACTGCTGTAAGGCTGGGTGCGCGGATGGTGTAATGGAGAGTTGCTCAGAATTGTTATTCGGCGAGCCCAGTTTCAATTCCTGTTGGGTTCATTATATTCATTAACGCAAAAATATGAATCCCCCCCACAATAGGGGTTAATTAATAAGACGTTTATCGCTAAAACTATTATTAGCTCAAAAAAATAGTATCTGTCTATATTTCTGAGATGAGGTATTATGTACACTATTTACATTATTCGGACTATTGTCGTCATCTTTGCCGCCATATTTATTACGTTTCGGCCGTTTTACGCTCCGGACTTCTTCAGATGGTTGGAATGTTGAACTGAACCCTTTATTTCGCTCACTAGTTCAACGTGCCATGTCTAATGGATGTCAGTTATCAGTTAATTCCCCTCTCCAAGTTCTTCACCGCCTTAAACAGGTTTTGAACTCACACTTTTTGGGTCCTGTCAGTGGATCCAACCAACGCCTTTATTCACTGTGCCATTTGTAAAATTACGTACACAATATTTAGATTTCGGCATTAAATAACCCATAGAGGTGTTGGTATGCCAGAAAACAAAAACAACAAACCAGTTTTAGTTACAGTTTCTGAGAGAGGGTTAGGATTAGGGTTAGGTGACATTTCACTTTGGAATATAGATGAGTCCGGCCCGTTTAAATCTGAAGTCCTAAAAATGACTTCTCCAAGTCAGGACTATCTCCGAATTATATGTAAGATCTTTCATTTTTGTCCTTCCCTATACTTTGTCTTTCTGTATAGATATTAATGATATAGTGTTCCCTGCGTGCGTGGAACACGTATATATATATATATATATATATATATATATAGAGAGAGAGAGAGAAAGAGATAGATAGATAGATAGATAGATAGATAGATAGCTAGATAGATAGATAGATAGATAGATAGATAGATAGCTTTGTGTACACGGTGCAGGACACGTTGGATTTTATAAAATACTTATTCCATAAGATTAAGATGACAAAGAATTGATTGTGGAAGTGTACGCCTTGCATGACCAGATAGTCTATGTGTCTACATTTTAAAACAAGAAAATTATTAGACCAACTGTAGTGAGTGCTCAAAGTTAAACGGAAAGAAAGTGAGTTTCTTTTTCACACTGCTGATCAGGCCAGTGCGCTCACACCCTCAGTCATGATGACTTCTGACTTCGTGCTAGCACAAACATCGACTGTTCCCAGACAGTTCTGACTACCAAGTTTAATTCCCAATGAGGATAACAGCAAGAAATCGAAGATGATATGACGCATATCCGTGTCTCATGGCCAGAAACCGAACATTCTAAGTCGTCGGTTATCTGTCCATATATAATGAATTGTTACACATCAAAAACAAGGATCGATTCTGATTTAATGTGATGTGATTGCCTGGTGTCAGCCATAAATACAGACTGATGTGGAGGTACAGGGATTATGCCTATTGTCTACCACTACGACGAGGATCAGCTAGATTGTCCTACCCGGTTACAGTAGTCAACAACCACTTCGAACAAATATATCCCTTTCCGGGACATATCAGATTCCATAAAATTAAACTTAAATGATATATCTTAAAATGAAAAGTGTAACTGTTAATCTTGACTGGAAAACTTAATGTTGTGGTATGATCCACCTAATTTACATAGTGGAGTACCGACCATATAAATATGGTTGGTACCGGGAAGACGAGTGTGAGGAAGAAGAGATCCGATCCAGAGACTCTGCCCGACTGCGACTAAGTCAACACATTCTCCAGGAACGGTCTTCCCAAGAATATACCAAAAGACTATATGTAAATATTGTGTACACTTTCTTGTTTCAATACATTTTGTTCTAAGTACATTTTGTGTTGTATTATTATTCCATGCATTAGTCAAGTTTCAACACTTAATCTTTGTTTTATTACTATAAAAGTTACATTTTATTAAAACACGGGCATGTGTAGACCTCCATGTTTTGAAACGCTGCAATTTGATACCTACTCCCTAGATAAAGTTAAAGGGTAGTAACAGACAACGAAATACAGTGACCAAAGCGGCAGTGATATTCCAGTTCGTGGACAGCAACTGAAATGCGCATACATTTCTTCCAGAAACTTAGCAAAGATTTAAGAGTTAAAACTGTCCGTTAGTAACAAAGAAAATTGTTCGGTACTGGTGTATAATATATAATAGATATAATATCTGATATGATATTGAGTACTGATCAATCTGCTCAAAGGTGAGGAGGTTTAAATCGTCAGAGGTGCGGTTGTACCGATGTTGAAGGTTGAGAAGACGTTCGGAAGAAAATGTGAGTTATGGGGATGTTTTGAGGAAAATAGGAAACTAAGAAGAAAATACCTCCATGACATATTTCAGGCGTATCGAGAGCTAGGGAAGAAAGATTTATACTGCCGCTTACATTTCTGCCGTTATGGGTATAACACTATCCATGATCTAATAACACCGATATTTCAAGGACGGGACTTAATGGCTGAATGGAAAAAGAATGAGAAACATGCTTTGTTCTCTGAGAGAGGTTTATATTACTAAGACATACACAAAGCTATCTCTCTCTCTCTCTCTCTCTATATATATATATATATATATATATATATATATATACGGGCCCCACGCAGAGAATAATATATCATTAATATCTATACAAAAAGACAATGTATAGAGAGGAACATAAATGAAAGATTTTACATATAATTTGGAGATACTCCTGACTTGGAGAAGCCATTTTTAGGACTCCAGGTTTAAACGGGCCGGACTCATCTATATTCTAAAGTGAAATGTCACTATGTGCTTGTAAGCTGCTGGTGGCGATGGATCTAGAATTAGCCAGGGCTATTTGGTCTAGGCCAGAAGAAAGCAATCTTTTAGTTTACTTGCTGTCCACGAACTGAAAAATGACTGCTTTGCTCACTGTATGGAGTGTCGTCACAAAGTGGCCGTCATGACACCCACGTGACTTATCTCCACCAAAGGGAGATAAGCAGCTTCCGTTTCCCTACACAGGTAATAGAAGACGTAGATAAACAGGTAGTAATGAGTTTGAGCCACATTTTCGGCCTTGTGTCACAGCTACGCTACGATTAGAAAAATCGGTAAAATCAGTTGTGATTGAATAGTGAGTTCTATATTTGCTGCGTCTCTTAAAATTTCGGCCTTGTGCCACACCTAAGCTACGCTCAGAATGATTATTAACCCGCACCGGGGGAAGACTCGTCTCCTCTCGGCTTCCGCCGTCGTCAATGCCAACGTCGATAATGAAAGCGAAAACAACGAATAGGAATTTCGACGTTGTGTAGTGCTGTTGGAGCTTGTCTAGATAGGTCACTTACCACTAAATAGTGAGTTTGATCTTCACCGGATACCCCATACTTTCGGCCTTGTGATACATCAAAGCTGCGCTTAGAAAAATCACCATATTCTCTATCTCTTTATGAACGTGATTTTAATGTCATTGTATCCGATCTATCCTCTGGCACTTTATTCATTCTTTTATTTTTCCAGTCTTCATTTTTGCAATCTTTTTCAATTTTGCTTATCTTTTCATTTTGCCACTGTGTGCTTAGATAACCGTGTTAGCCTGTACATGGTGTTATTTTCTATGGTGCTGATGTGATGTCTATACAACTCGATTGGTTTTTAGCAAAATCTTAGAGAACGAAAGCCGAAATGCAGGAAACGTTGGATTTTAGTAAATATATATTCCAAAGGATTTAGATAACAATGAATTGATTGTGGAAGTGTACGCCTTGCCTGACCAGATAGTCTACTTGTCTATATTTTAGAACAAGAAAATTATTACAAGACCAACTTTAGTGAGTGTGGAGGTGTGCCTCAAAGGCAAAGGAAAAAAAGAGAGTTTTTTAGAAGTTACACCATATGTTTTATATAGATTAAAAAGCTCAGTAATTTTTTTATGTGTCATGCCTGATGGAAGGAGTTACACTTTTGAGCGATCACTTATCTTTGGTGATACATGACTGATAAAGCAGATTTTTTCCTGCATAGGTTGCCATTTCTTTTTTTTATAAAGTTATAAAGATATATATTGCGATACATCGAATTTATAGAAAAATTACTCATTGTTAAAAAATTTAAAATAGCTGTTGAGGAGAAAAAGGGTTATTGAATTTCCAGGTCTTTCGATATAATGAGAAAACGAATGAATGAAAATGGATTCGATAAAGGAATTTGAACTTGGTTTAATAGAACATTTTTTTTATTGTTTATTTTCATTAAATGTTTACTGATGGCACTTTGTTTTCTACGCCTAAAAATACTATATTTCAGGGGAATAATTTATCTATAATGGAAATGAAATAATTGCCTTTTTTTAAAAATAAATAAATAAATAAATAAAAAGCGTTTAGAGACGGGTTCAAAAAATAAGAAAGACAAACTGAATACAGAAATTTTGATATATTTCCCGCTTCTGAAATAAAAAAAAAATTAAAAATCAGCCAGAATCCGGGTAGGAACTGTTCTAACCAAGAAATCGAATATTATTTTTATAAAATTTATTCTTGCTTTCTTGTTTTTTGTTTTGTTTGTGACTTTCTTCCTTTCCATTTTCATTGCTTGTTTTCCTTTTAGCATTTCCGCCTGAAATGGGACTAAGATGCATTTTTCTGGTCTTTCAATTACTTTTCAGATATTGATTCATTTATTAACAAAATGTATTTCTTATTCTGTATTTTAAATTTTTAGTTTGGCCTATAGTTATTTTTTTACCTCCTTTTTTTGAAGATTTCTGTTTCTTTCTCTTTTACAGAAATCTCGATCTTTTCCTTTAGATGACAATCTCATTCTATTTCATTTCAATCTTATTTTTTTTTTTGTATTTGTATATTTTTTTTCTTTCATTCGAGTCTCAGGTTTGATTCAAAACTCTTTCTGTTATGTTTAGGTCAATTTCTCTTTCATCCTTCAAATATAATTCTCTTTGTTTCTCGTTCATTCGACATTGTAATATCCAGGCTTGTTTCTTTTTCGTTTTGAATAGAATTCTTTTCTATCGAAAATGCTTCCTTTCGGATTTCATTCCGGAAATTCTTCTATAACGTTATTTGGGGGGTATTTTATTCACTTTTCGAAATAATTTTATTTTTATTTCCTTCATTTTACATTTTCTTTCTTAATATTACTGTGATCTATGGAACATTTCTTCTTTCTTTCTTTCTTTCTTTCCCAATTTTGTATTCATTTTTCGTTTTCTCTCTACTTCTCGTTATATTCCCTGTCGTATTCTTTCTTTCTTTCTTTCTTTCTTTCTTTCTTTCTCAATTTTGTCTACATTTCTTTCTATTTCTCGCTATATCCCTCGCAGTGTTTTCTTTCTTTCTTTCTTTCTCTCTTTTTCTTTCTTTCTTCTTTCTTCTTCCTTTCTTTCTTTCTTTCTTTATTTTGTCTACATTTCTTTCTATTTATCGCTATATGCCTCGCAGTTCTTTCTTTCTTTCTTTCTTTCTTGTCTATTTACTATTATTTAAACGAATCATTTAAAAAAAAATAACTAGTACTTCCCTCTTTTCTTTTCTGTCAACTTCATTTTTCTCGGTATTCGCATCTCCTCTTTTAATTCAGGCGGCAAAGATTCCACTCAAATAGATGAAGAAAACGCAAACAAATAACATATTTAAAAAATGGAGCACTAAACCCAATCATGGCAGATTTTTAAATTGTCGACGAAGAAGAAATATGTTCGCACATTCAAAATGAGGCTCCAAGAAATGCTGAGTCATCCTTTGCCTTT